GGGCCCGCCCCGGTGCCGCGGAGCGGGGCCGGCAGCGGCCGCGTCGCATTCCAGGTCCCGACACCATTCCGAGTCATTCCGAGTTTTCTAGCCCGTGCCACAGTGCCTTGACCAGCACCACATGTACAAAGCAATAAAACGATGTTGTTGATCTGCAGTCGTGGGCCCACTTATTCGGTGAAGTGCAGCCCGGTGCTCTAGAGAGGCCAGACTCCGCCGTGTAGAGCCCTGGGAACTGGCACCTGCTGCAGGCACCCGGCTGAGGCCTGACGGAGGCTCTGTGTAGCTGGAAATGGTTCTGTTTAAGGTTGGAAGCCAGGATTTTTTGTTCGGAGCATGCTGATGCCTCCCCAGTGACTCCTGCTCTCTACACGTAGGGTAGTTGTGCTGCAGCATGTGGCAGCGCCCCTCACGCCTCCGTGGTGGAACCCCTGACCCTGTTCCTCTCCCCCTAATAAATGCAAAACGCTTGTTTGTGTAGAGCCCGCGGGTGTTGCTTCATTAGGACCCGGCCTGATGGAGCAGCAGCTGCTTCTGCCTGCCCAGCCCCCCGGGCCCGGGGTGGCTGTCAGTGCTTCTGGGACAGCTCAGCCAGCGGTGACAGTGTCGTTGTGCAGTGTTGTGTGGGAACATGTGGTGCAGGGAGCAGGGCCTGCCCCACAGCCCTGCTGCCTGCAGCACCTGCAGCCTGCTGTGTCTTGCAACCTGTATTTAACCCTATTTAAGGTAAATCCTGCTTTCAACTTGATTTCATCTAACAACGGATCCGGTATGTAACTGCTTCCCTGTGGACAATCACAGATCCTGCTTAGTGATACTGAAGAAAAAAAAAAAAAAAAGAAAAGGAAAGCAAGCCCTCCTCTCACCTGGAGTTGACTGTTATGCTGTTGCTGGTTTCTGATGGCTGGTGGCCCTGGCCTGGCCTGGCCGTGGCCCCTGTTGGGGTAAACAAAGGCAGTCTGGAATGGCTCTGCTGCTGCACACAGCTGCTGCAGGGAGGTGGCTTTTCTTCAGGTTTCTTAGCAGAAGAAGAACTTAAAATATTTTACATTAGAAGTAATAGAAAAATGTTTCTGTACAAATGAATCAAATGCCTGTTAGCTGTGAAGGAGCAGATCGTTTGTGTGAGTTGTCATATTCCATTGTAAGTCATGGGGACTGGCACCAACCAGCCTGGCCAGGGGTTGTGCCCAGGCCCCAGCTGTGCAGGGGACACTGCTCGTGGGCACTCGTGATTTGTACGTGGTGGTGGAGGGGGATGTCTGTACAACCTCTGGTTTTAAATAAAGTTCTTTTCAAATGTGACTTGTTGTCATTTTGGGTGCCTTGCTGGGTGTGGAAACTCTGAATGCAACAGAAAGCTTCTTGCCCCTTTGTCACAAGAACCCCCCCGAGTTGGGCTGTGGAGGGGGGGGGGTCTATGCTGTGCAGTGCCCCGACCCATGGGCTGGGGGGGTCTGGCAAAGGAGGGAGCCCGTGCTGCTCCCTGCCCCTCAACTGGCCCTGCAGGTGTTCAGGGGGTGGCTGCTCCCTGGGGATGCAGCCCAGTGCTGGGGGGCAAAGGGGGGATCTGACCCCTTCCTGCTCCCACAGGTTTGGCCCATGGTGCCACTGGAAAAGTGCTGTTGGATTGAAACCAAAGTGTTCAGCATTGAAAAGTGGTATGGGAGCAGTGATAGCCCAGAACAGGCAATCACAAAGGGGAGGGGAAGGATCCAGAGGTCCCAGCTGCTTCTGTGGTGAGCAGACAGACCACGAACGAGGGAGTTGTGCCTGTGAGGAGGGATTAAACACCCGGGAAATGCAGCTAGAGGAGGGACATGGCAAAGTGCTTTGGAGCTGCACTGTGATCCTCACCTGCTTTGTCAGTGCCAGCAGCCAAAGCCCCAAGGGTCTCTGCCTCCAGGTGCAGTCCCATGGTCCCAGGTGCACCTGCAGGAGAGATTCCTGAAGTGTGGAAGAAAGTAAACAACATGCCTGGCTTCACAAAGGGTGAGGAGGAGGATGTGGGGAACCATGGCCTGGTCCACACCACCTTGTCGCCCTGAGGTGATGCAGCAAAGCCTCCTGGAAACCACTGCCAGGGACACGGAGGACAAGGAGGTGATCAGGAGCAGTCATGGATTTATGAACAGGGAAAAGCACTCAGTTAACCCATCAGCCTTCTACGAGGAGAAGGCTGGCTCAGTGGAGGATGAGGCAGTAGTGGCTGCTGAGCACCTTCAGTTTGGCACAGCCTCCAATGTGGCTTCCACCCCAGCCTGGGGACAGTGTCCCTGGGCAGCTCAGGGCAGGGGCTGGGCCTCTCCTGCCCTGCCTGCAGCCCCAGCTGCCTTCTGACTGCACAAATGCTGCAGAGCCAGGCTTGCTTCTCAGGAATGAATGCAACAGAAAGCTTCTTGCCCCTTTGTCACAAGAACCCCCCCGAGTGGGGCGGGGGGGGGGGGGGGGTCTATGCTGTGCAGTGCCCCGACCCATGGGCTGGGGGTTCTGGCAAAGGAGGGAGCCCGTGCTGCTCCCTGCCCCTCAACTGGCCCTGCAGGTGTTCAGGGGGTGGCTGCTCCCTGGGGATGCAGCCCAGTGCTGGGGGGCAAAGGGGGGATCTGACCCCTTCCTGCTCCCACAGGTTTGGCCCATGGTGCCACTGGAAAAGTGCTGTTGGATTGAAACCAAAGTGTTCAGCATTGAAAAGTGGTATGGGAGCAGTGATAGCCCAGAACAGGCAATCACAAAGGGGAGGGGAAGGATCCAGAGGTCCCAGCTGCTTCTGTGGTGAGCAGACAGACCACGAACGAGGGAGTTGTGCCTGTGAGGAGGGATTAAACACCCGGGAAATGCAGCTAGAGGAGGGACATGGCAAAGTGCTTTGGAGCTGCACTGTGATCCTCACCTGCTTTGTCAGTGCCAGCAGCCAAAGCCCCAAGGGTCTCTGCCTCCAGGTGCAGTCCCATGGTCCCAGGTGCACCTGCAGGAGAGATTCCTGAAGTGTGGAAGAAAGTAAACAACATGCCTGGCTTCACAAAGGGTGAGGAGGAGGATGTGGGGAACCATGGCCTGGTCCACACCACCTTGTCGCCCTGAGGTGATGCAGCAAAGCCTCCTGGAAACCACTGCCAGGGACACGGAGGACAAGGAGGTGATCAGGAGCAGTCATGGATTTATGAACAGGGAAAAGCACTCAGTTAACCCATCAGCCTTCTACGAGGAGAAGGCTGGCTCAGTGGAGGATGAGGCAGTAGTGGCTGCTGAGCACCTTCAGTTTGGCACAGCCTCCAATGTGGCTTCCACCCCAGCCTGGGGACAGTGTCCCTGGGCAGCCCAGGGCAGGGGCTGGGCCTCTCCTGCCCTGCCTGCAGCCCCAGCTGCCTTCTGACTGCACAAATGCTGCAGAGCCAGGCTTGCTTCTCAGGAACCTCCGAGAGGGACGCTCAGGTTTACCTCCCCTCTCACCGGATTGCAACTTCTCATTCCCAGGAGCTGACAGGGCATCTCTTCCTGGGGTCCCTCTGCTCCTGCCACACCTGGGAGCTGCCCCAGGTGTGTGACACCCCCAGCACCGGCCCGGGCCCCCCTGCCAAGCTCCCTTCACCCCCACGTGGCACCAACCGAACCCGATCAGCGTGAAAAGCATCCAGTGATCACACTGCTCTCATGAGCCCTCACCGACCACACGCACCCACCCTGCTATGGACACGCGGGGCACGCAGGGCTGCCCGATTGCATCAGATGCCAGACGTGGCCTTTAAACCGCAACGAGGCGATGGGACAACCCACAGAAAGAGAATACCCCCGGCTTTGGCAACAACTCCTACTGGGAAGCCTGAAGGCTGTTACCAGGGCGGACTGAAGCAGCCGGAGGACGCGGGTGCCGGGGCGGGCGGGCGGGCGGGATCCCCG